CTTTTTTCTTTTTGCTTATGTGGTGCTGAGGAATTGAACCCAGGGCCTCAGGCATGCAAGGCAAGCGCTCTACCACTGAGCCAACTTCCCAGCCCCAGCTTATTTCTTTTGTCTTTTCTTCAAAAACATATACAAAATGCCCACAGTTCATTTCCCTGCCATCATCACACCTTGGCTGGACTTTGCCTGCTCTCTATTCTCCCTGCTCCCATCCTTGTCACCTGTATCCCTTTCTTCAGTGCAGCCATAGAGTCTAACACATATACACAGTAGCCTCTGACTTCTAATACCCTTCCACTGCATGCAAGATAAACTCCTTACTTCAGTGTACACAGGCTTTCAGAGTCTACTGCAGCCTACTACTGACCCAGGCCACAACTCTCTGCCCTTTTCCAACGTCCTTCTTTATATTCTTTGCCCATATCAGAATTCCCACTTTGCAGACTTTTACTAATGGTTACACATGCTAGGTAATATGGAGCCCAACTGGCTGCTCATTTTGGCCCAGCTGTCAGTTTACAGGCTCCACCTTCTTTCAGGCCTTCATTGGCCACCAGTTTTCACTCAGTACCCTGCCATCTCATAAGTCTCTGTGGATCAAAAACTGCTTATGGTATTTTTCTTATCTACTGACCTGGTCTTTCTCCCACAAAAATGAGTGCTCTCAGAAAGCCTTGTCTACTTTACACACAGAGGTATACTCTCTTTATTTAGAGTACAACTAGTGAGGTAGGTATATAAAACTTTGTTTAACATACACTTGTTATACCAAACAATCAGAACATCAAAGAATATGGCTTGTCACAAAGACTCCCAGGGGAAACATATTTTAATAGACAATGACCAAAGACTTTCAGAGTTTCAGGTTAGTAGCAAGTGGAGCTTTTTCAATAATTACTGTTGCTGTTATTGTTGTCCTTTCATTAATTTAACCTAGCTCTCTAGAATGCTTAATATCTGAACACAGATATCTAAACTGGACAAAACTTTTTATTATAAGCAAAAAGAATTATATAAAAACAAAAATACATTTAAATGTCTTTATAATGTTTACACAAATATGTGTGTCTTTAAAGCCAGTTCATAAAATTTTAAGATAATTTTTTGTAAGGAAGAAATTATATATATAATAGTTATACTTTATTTCTGTGATGACTTCAAAAAACTTTTAGCCATTCCTCAGTCTTTAATTTTGTTATTTTATACTTAAGGTAGAGTTAAGTATTAATTGCTTATCTAGCATATTTCCTATCATGCAGAGGTACAATATTCCCAAAACAGGGAGAAGTAACTTTTTGGGCTATATATAAAGAAAGCTTGGAAAGAAATTATAGTTTAAAAATGACACTTTTTTTCCCCCAGTGCTAGGATACAACCCAGGGTTTCACTCTGTCACAGTTAAATCTCAGTCCACATTCTGTTAATCATTTTGTGTTCTGCACAGACTTTAATGACATTAGTCCTAGACTAATCTATGTACTTCCACCGATGTTACTAACACTTCTGCTTACTCTCTTTCATCTAGTAGAAGTAGCTTCCAATATTAAAGTTCTGGTATTTTTTTTCCTGTTCTTTTTGTTTGTGCTGGTATTAAGGCTTGAGAACTCAAGGCCTAGTCACTGTCCCTTGGCTTTTTCACTCAAGGCTGGCACTCTACCACTTGAGTCAATTAATTGGAGATACGAGTCCCATAGACTTTCCTGCCTGGTTTTGAACCATGATCCTCAGACCTCAATCTCCTGAGTAGCTAATATTACAGGTATGATCCACCAACACCATGTCCTTTTCTGGTTCTGAAATCCATATCCTCCTCTATATAATGTCACACATACACACTTTTGACTTAAACAAACAATGAGTGGCCTCTTTTCAAAATGTCTCATGAACTGCAACTCTAGAAAACCCATGAGATACTTATGTTAAAAATTAAACTTCCCACAAAAATATAAAAAAGTAAAATAAGATAAATAACTTTCCAATGTGCAATATCAACCATCTATCTTTCTTCTGGACAACCTTGATGATCCCAGGTCACCTATAGGAAGAGTTAAATTGGCTGGATATGGGTCCTTCTTGCTTCTAAACAAGCATTACTAAATATTTTTTAATGACACATATTGAGCTCAGGATGCCAATGGCTGGACACTCAAAATCATCAATCCACAGCTGACTGCCAAGAACATCGATATGTTGAAACTCAGCATAAAGAGTATCAATACCCTTATAATTTCATCTACAACACTGGGAAAGCCTGAAACTCAATCCTCTTCTTACCAGTTCAATAATCTTTCCTCCAGCTCCTTCAGAAGATCCCGGTTGAGTTCATAAAGCTGTGGCAGGTAGTACAAGATCTGATTTAGGATCCGGTCCTCAATTATGGGCTTCCCAAGTTGCCGGGAAGCATGGGCCACCGCATCCCGGAAGTCCTGTTACAGTAGAAAGGAGGTAAAACAATATACATACACGTAAAACCTGATGAAAAGCTTTTCTGCCCTAAAATGATATAAATTGCAAAGCTACCAAATTTTAAAGCAGACTGTAATTCTCTTAAATCTTTTAGTTTGATCTCCAAACTTAACAAAGAAGGTATATGGAAATTATATTGCAACTTTAGACTTTAAACTTATTCCAGTATCGTCATATAAACACAAACCATTTGCTTTTAAAGTCTCTCGGGAGATCTTAACTAGTTTTATTTCAGACTTATGAGTTCCTTTGGTACATGTGGTGGCTCACTCCTATAAACTCAGCTACTTACAAGTAGACATAGGAGGATTCTGGTTTAAGTTAGCCTAGGCTAAAAGTTAGTGAGACACAATCTAAAAGAACAAATGGTATGTGGTGGTACATGCCTCTAATCCTAGCTACTCAGGAGAAGGAGGAAGGAAAACTGTGGGCTGAGGCCAGTTTGGGCAAAAGTATGAGACTCTATCTGAAAAATAAAATTATAGTAAAAACAGGTAGGGGAGTAGCTCATATGATAGCACACTTGGCCAGCAAGCACCTGGTCCTGACTTTGATCCCAACACCACCAAAAAGAACAAGTCCCTTTGTTCATTTTTCAGGAGTAATTTCCCAAGCAAGGACTGAAGCACTCTAGGTGACACTAGGTGAAAAGCATGAAGGAAGCACATGGCGTGATCATCTAACCCTTGTTCTAGATTTGCTGTTTGCTTGGCCTAGCTTCATCATCCTCATTTGTCAAATTGGTCTAACAGTTACAGGACTTTAATTAGATACTGTGCATGCATAATGCTGTCGGCAAAGCAGTTGGTGGACACAATCAACAAGAATTTTACCTCAGGGTCTTAAATTCCCCTCACTAAGGTTTATATTTTTCACAAATGAAAATGGTCCTCTTCACAGTACTTTTCATCTTCTGTTCCTTATGTTTTAATATAGGCAAATACCACTCTCAACCTATCACCCCACAAGCTAAGTGTCTTCCTAGATTTCATTGTCTCTGAGGGCGGTCCTCAAGAAGTAAGCAAAACAATAGTGGAATCTGTTCAGCCACCCAAAGGATTCAAAAACAAACAGAAATTCCTTCTTAGTAACAGTCTCAACAAAAATCCTACAGTAAGTGGGTAAAATGACTCACTAGGCTTTAACTTCCTTTAAACATTTTAGTATTTTTATAATTAGTATTTTTATAATTAGTTTTACTGTAATATTCCCATACATGTACATAGATATATAATGATCAAATTCATTCCACCTATTACTCTTCTCCATCCTCTCCCACTTTATATTCCTTTATCTTTTTTCTAATTGCTTTCCCTTCTGGGATTCACTGGCCAAATCATATTTTAAAAGATATCATTTTCTTCCTAATCCTTTTAATACCTGCCTCCAATAAACACATATTATCTATAGATTGAGCCCAGGGCTCTACCAGTGAGCTTCATCCCCAGCCCTCAAGTCTACCTATTTTAAGTAAGTTAAGTCCTCTTAGGCTTAACTGACACACATTAGGACTGAATACCTGGGATCAGTTTTATTGGTCTAAGTTACATTTTTTCCAAAGGAACTAAAAGAACTGACTTGTATAACGTATTAGTAGAATATTAAAACAAGAGTTTATAATTTGTATAGCCTCCAACCCCAAAAAAACACACAAAACATTTCCAGAAACCAGATAGATATTGGCCAATCCCACCCAACAGCTTGCTTCAATCAGCATTCACATTTACTAAGAGAAAACAGAGCTACTTAACACTTGAAAGCCACTAGGTAGTCTGCTATTAGGCAGAACTATAGAATGCATGTACTAATAAAGTCTCCAAACTGTAAATATTTTCAAAGCACAGTAAATGTTTTCTAGGATTTTTGTAGTTTTGTTTTATTTTTACCATTTTAAATATGAATATGATTTAGTTACAAGAGTTTCTTGCTCAGCAGTGAAACAATAAACATTATTCTTTTTCTAGAAGAATAAATGATGATTATGTTTATCCTTTGGCAACAGGACAGCTTTTGTTTTCCAGTTGGAAGGCATTTCTTTAGCCGTGACAGTGACAGTAGATGTTAGCTGCTAAGTAACTTAAGGACCCAGTTTGACACAGCTTCTGTCAGACTCTACATTCCACATGTCTGCCACCTTTGCTAAAAAGGAAACTTGTTCATTTAAGACACATTTAACGAAGACCAGCCAAATGCAAAGTAGTTGGCCAGTGAGATGACCACCTCCAATATCCCATACCAGGTACAGTCGGACTTTTTTCCAGGACTACTGGATATTTGTAGGCAGCTCTGGATGAGATGATGTTCCATGAAGTCTTTTAAAGTATTATGAATAAGCTGGGCGCCCGGTGGCTCACGCCTGTAATCCTAGGTACTAAGGAGGCTGAGATCTGAGGATCATGGTCAAAGTCAGCCTGGATAGAAAAGTCCGTGAGACTCTGATCTCCAATATACCACTAGAAAACCAGAAGTGGCACTGTGGTTCAAGAGGTAGAGTGCTTTCTTTGAGCGGATGAGCGCAGGGACAGCGCCCAGGCCCAGAGTTCAAGCCCCACAACCAACAACAACAACAATAAAAATTATGACTAGTATGTTAGAGTAAAAGAAATTTACGGGCTGGGAAGGTGGCTCAGTGGTAGAGCGCTTGCCTTGCATGCTTGAGGCCCTGGGTTCAATTCCTCAGAATCACCTAACAAAAAGAAAAAAGCCGGAAGTGGCACTGTGGCTCAAGTGGTAGAGCGCTAGCCTTGAGCTGAAGAGCTGAGGGACAACGCCCAGGCCCAGAGTTCAGGCCCCACGACCGGACCCCCCCAAAAAAAAAAGAAATTTAATAGTTAAGAGCCAGAAAAGGATCCCCTTTACTTGGTGCATAGATAAGTTATAGATCCTGCATTCAATCCTAGTGTTGATTCCTCTCCATTCTCCCAAAAAAACAAAACAAAAAACAAACAACAACAACAACAAAAACCAGTATCCTTCCTCCAGACCTACAAAGCTCATGCCAAGGGCTCCATTTGCAACTTATGGCCTCCATAATCACATACAGCAGTGATGCCCCCATTTTCCTTCTCTTATCTGTTGGGCCACCGTCCCCTGAAAGCAATGCACTCTGACCCAAGGCCAGATGTAGCCAATCCCACAGGGACTACACCTAGAATCTTAAACTTCTCAGCATTTCATGAACATCAGCCATTGTCCAAAGGGGTGCCACTGGAAGGAGGTAACATCTTCTTTTGATAAAAAGGATGATTACATCATGTGCCTAATTATTCTAAATGGTGACGGCCAGGATAATTTGGGAAAATATAATGACACTGAAGAGCCAGAAGCAGAACTATTTTTGTGCAGAAGTATCTATTTTTATCAATACTTTCTTAACTATATCAGTGAGAATACAAGACAACAGAACTAGCACTTCAGAAATTAGAAGAGTTTTCTTTTTCACTCTTTCTATCTGCATAATTAAAGTAAAGACATGGGAGTAAAAAAAAAATTGGGCAGGCTAGAGCTTAGTGGTATCAGCTATTTATACTCTGTATTTTTAACATAAACCCCACCAAAGATTCTACATGAAAAACTGAGCCACTTGTGCTCTAGTTTCTGGTCACATTAATCAAATGCTTATTCAAGTTGGAATTTTAAAAGACAGAAATGAGAAAGCATATCATAATACTATTCTTAACAGTTCCTCAAACTGCCTCCCCCCAAAAAAATAAGAACCAGAGTACTTGAAATGGAGCTTTTATTCCTTTAAGGTATTAACATCCTAGCCTTGCCAGCTCTGATCACTGAGGGAAGATCTAAGCAAAAATCAATACAAATAAAATCAAGTATGAACACCAGAGGTAATGAAGCACAAACCAGATGGCCTTGTTCATAGGGTCAGGCTTTATATCTCAGAGTCAAAAAGGAATATATGACTTAATTACCAGCTGTCCCGAGTGAGATTCCTGACCCACGGGCACTACTTAACCACTATAATACAGTGAATTACAAAGACCACAGGGACATATGGATAGAGAGCTCTGTAAGACGGACTCACTAGGAACCAACTTCACATTAAGAAAACGCAAAGCAGCTGCTGAGGTCAATGAGCTATGTCAGGATGTAGAAATGAATGAAAATCCATGAAGTAAAAGTAGAGGGCTGGGCAGAAAGACACACCTTAACAATTTGTCTTTGTTTTTAAAATGAAACTATTTTCCCAACAAAACTGTTTGTCTCTTCCTAAATGCACAATCCTTTAGATAGCTTTCACAACCATCTGTTATCCCATGTTTCTAATTCTCTATAAAAACCATATAAAATGATTATAATATATCCTAAGTAACTCTTGAATAATCAAAATCTAGCTTCCTCTTTATCTTTTGAAGGTGAAGAATTAAATTAGAATTTGTTGGAACAAAAGAAAGAATTCTGAAAGCAAGCTGATATATTCAAGGATACAATGTATCATATAGCGCAAGGTCAAGAAGGTAGAGGAAAAAAAAATTCTAGTCAATTTCTACACAACCCATAGGTTCAAGGGCTCAAGCAGAGCAGATTTCTAAATCTGGCTTCTACAATTAGAAGCAAGTAACTTTGACAACTAGCTTAATTCATTAAAAAATATAAATAAATACTGTTAGGAGGATTAAAATAACTTGTGTAACATAGTTACAGAACATGCTACAAAGCTATATAGATACCACTGAAGGGAAGCCACTATTTAATTTAAAAAGAGATTTAGTAATTTAAATGATCACGCACATTACTTGGAAGCTTGGACAAGGCAACATTCTACCATGGGAATATAGAATAGGAAATCAGATCACAGTGGGGAGAACAGCTCAGCAGCAAGACAAAAGTGATCTTCACAATGAACTCTGTTCAGTGAAATACAGTCCTCCCTGAATCAAGCTGCTCAAAAGGGAAAGTTTGGTAGACACATTAATAGATGCTAGAGAAGGATTCTTTATAATTAAAATGATAATTCAATGATTCATAAGACAAAAAATTGTGTATTTGGTGGAACAGGGTGAGGATTTTTAAATCTAAACACACAAGCATTGAGAAAAGTTTGTATGTTATAATGTACTTAGAAAAAAATGAATAAAAGACATATCTAGTATTGTACATGTGGATGTCCAGGTGGCATTGCATCTAACCCTGTGGCCTTATTGAGAATAGCAAGATCTGGTCTCCAAAACAAAACAAAGAAACAAAGTACCAATGGAGCAAGACTTCTTTATTACTAATACCACTTAACTAATACTTAACTATCTATTAGTCTAAAATACCCAAATTCTATGTTGTTTCCTTTCAAAATATTTTAAAATTCATACAACTTATATAAAATACATTTCAAGAGGGCTACTAACCATGTCTCAATAGCAATCAATTAAGATAACCCTTATTTCAGTTAGTTCTATCAGCTAATTAAGGTATCACAGAGATGTTCCCATTACAGCTGCACATATATAAGGAGTTCTTTTGGAGAGCTGTTATTTAAAACTCAACAAACTTGTTTAGGTGATAAAATACTGGGTCATCTTTTTAAACATAATTTGTTTTGGGGTTTTTGTTCGTTTGTTTGAGACAGGGTCTTATTCTGTAGCCCAAGCTGGCCTTGAACTTAGGATCCTTCTGCTTTAACTTCCTCAATACTGGGATTACGGATGTGGGCCATCATCTCCAAGACTGTGTTATATTAAAAAGGATAATACTGAAAAAGAAGAACTTACTAACAGAATTAGTTATTGTGAGAAATTATTCATGAGGAAATACCTTCTAAAAATATTAGCTTCATAACTAAATTTTTTTTAGAAAATGTTCCCAAAACCAGAGGGTGTTTTCACTCAAGAATTAGGACCTCGTGCCTCTGCTGGACCCAGTGAAAAGCACAGCCACTCATTTGGTGAATGCGATAACCCCTAAGTGTAACTAACTCTTCATGTTCATATAGATTTATGAAAGGGGAAAATGAAAATAACCATATTCTTTACAGAAACATAATGTGTGTAACATTTTGTGAACCTTCTACTTCTCCACAATTATATGTAATTTAGGATGTTAATAATTACACCACATGTAGGCAAAAGATTTTACTTTAACTGCCAATTCATACAAACTTGAAAGTACAAATAAATGCATGAGAAAAAATAAATATGTGGTCAGATCCAATTGTTCCTTGACAGGTCTGTTCAAGACGACCATTATAAAAATTTAAAATAGAACTTTAAAAAGTCAGTTGTAAAAATGCCTAACTGCAAGTATCTGTTTCTGGTAGTTATTCAGACAGAAGGGCAAATGTCTATGAAGATATATTGCCACTTTAAAACCACTTTATTGTAAGGGATGGGTCTATAGTTCAGTGGTACACTGTGTGCTAGCATCTGTGTGACCCCTGGCTTAATCCCCTAAAAAAGAAAAAAGAGAGCCCAGCAAGGAAAAAAAGAAAGAAAGAAAAAATGAAAAAGAAAAAGAAGCCAGGCACCAGTGGCTTATGTCTGTAATCCTAGCTAGTCAGTAGGCTGAGAGCTGAGGATCAAGGTTCAAAGTCAGCCCAGGCAGGAAAGTCTGTGAGACTCTCATCACCAATATACTGCCCTCCCCTCACCCCCAACACACACACAAAAGCCAAATGTGAAGCTGTAGCTCAAGCACTAACATTGAACAAATAAAGCTCAGGGACAGTACCCAGGCCCTGAGTTCAAGCCCCAGTACTAGCATATGCAAACACTTGTATAAGAAGATGGAGAAGGAAGAAGAAGGAACAGAGAGAGAAAGGGGGAAAGGAAGGGGAGGGACAGAGGGACAGAGAGGGAGAGAAGAAAGGAGAGGGAAAAGGAAGGAGAAAGGAGGAGGAGTAGCAGGATGAGGAGGAAGAAGAGGAGGAGGAGGAGGAGGAGGAGGAGGAGGAAGAAAAAGAAAGAAGAAGAAAAGAGAAAATGAAGTTTTTTATAGTGACACACAGATTATAGACTTTAAAGAAACAGATATAAAAGTCCAATTTTTCTATTATCATCTGGTATAACTATCTAGATCTAAGAAGATAGGTATATCTATAGAGATATTTATGTCTTAGGACTAGGTAGAAATATGATATATGAGATATATACATTTTAGAAATGTGTGTGTGTGTGTGTGTGTGTATGTGTGTGTGAAGGCTGCCAGTGGCTCAAGCCTATAATCCTAGCTACTCAGGAAACTTAAGATCTGAGGTTTGAAGCTGTCTGGGCAGACAAATCCTCAATATTCTTATCTGCATTTAAGCAACAAAAGTGAAAGGTGGCTCAAGCATCAGAGCACTAGCCTTGAGTGAAAAAGCTAAGCAAGAATGTGAGGCCCTGAGTTCAAGACTTAGCACTAGCAAAAAAAGAAAGAGAGAGAGAGAGAGTGAAAGAAGGACAGGGAGGAAGGTAGGCAGAAAGGAAGGCAGGCAGACAGGTAGGCAAGAAGGCAGGAAGGCAGGAAAAAAGAACGAAAGAAAGAAAAGGAAGGAAGGAAGGAAGGAAACAATGTATAGGTTAAAATAAATTAAAGCAAGTATTAAAAATCATCTGCCAATCACTCTTTTAAGTGTAAGTAGGCTAAAACCATTTTGAGGAAGGAAAAGAACAAACAGGGATAGTCAGACTTGAAGAAAATATTAGCAGGTACTTACAATATGCAAAAGTTTTAATACATCCACAAACCTGTAAAAAAACAGCAATGAAAAAAATATTTTAAATGAGCCGAAGGGGAGAAAATAGTTTTATGAATTGTGAACTTGATACGTACACTTTCTCTGAGCTCATGATCTCCTTGGCAATGTGACAAACTTTATTTTTCATTCCAGCATCTTCATCCTGTAAGAGTACATGGAAAAATCATGAACTCATAAAAGAACGAGGATCCTCTATGTGCTAGTCATTATACATGCATTTTTGCTCTGATTCTTATATTTCCTATTAGGACACAATTCATACTATGCAGCTCCACAAAGACAGGAATGGGATTATGTACTGCCCTAACGTAATTCTGCTTTCCTAATAAAACTGTCCTTGCTCTCTCCCCACTCCTGGTGGTTCTTTTGCTGCACCAGCATCCTAATCTTAAATGTTCTAACCAAAGAACCAAGGAATACCTGGTTCAAGGGACATGCTATCCACCTAAACTATTTTGGTGTCATAACTGAGAATTCTGTTCTTACTCCAACGTTAGCTAGAGGACTGCCTTCTAATCTCCTGCCTTTCCACTTTTTTTAAGCCTCATGCTTCTCCATTCTTTCCTCTGCGGTGACCCAGCACTGATACTTTCCTAGCTTTCTGGAATGGGGATGGACTCCCAACGTTTGTTGAGATCTCCCTTCCCATTCCTATACCACAGGTTGAAGCTTCATGTGTTTCGTGCCATATGACCCTTTTCCTAAAAACTGAGATTACTCTGTTGAATCTCTCTTTAAGAACCTTGGTGAATCCTTGTAAGCACACATGCACCAAGATTTAACAAGTCTAAACATACTGCAGTTTTTACATAAAATATTCTCTTTATGAAATGAATTGTTACATAAGGTTTTCTTCTCCCTCCTCCAGAAGTAACTGAAATAACTACAGTTTGTATGTCTTTTCTCTGCTTTCATATTTATTTTCCTACAGAAGAGTTATCATGTAATTCCAAGAAGTCCTAACCCTTTTACCAGAACATATTTTTGTGCAAAAAGTATTAAAGGAGACTAAGAAACCAGCTATTTATGAAAAGAAACTTTGAAGAACAATTAATTTCCAATTAAGAGTGGAGAAGAATATACTCTAGGATGTTTTGCCATTCTTCTAGATCTTAGTTCTTAAAAAGCCCTTTTCTTTTCACTTTTTCTTGCCAGTCCTGGTGTTTGAACTCAGGGCCAAGGTTCTGTCCTAGAGCTTTTTTCACTCAAGGCTGGTGTTCTAGATAGAGCACAGAGTCACTTCCTTAAAGAGACAATTAGAAAAATTTGACTGTAATCCACATTACATTCCTCTTTTCTAAGATAGGGTGCTTGAATGATGGAGACTAACAGGTTTCGTAAGTTAAGCTCTACTTAGCTCCAACTTCTCACTTGTAAACATTTCTTAAGAAAAAAAGAGAGAAACTACAGAACCAACATTCCTCAGGAGGCAGTTTTAGCGATAATCTGACCTTGAGGATCAACTATCAGTCATACACTCATAACCATGACTGTGTACGTGTTTTTACAAGAGTATGTGCACTTTTAAAACTTGTTTTGAAAAACATTTGGCAAATCAGTGCTTTTCTGTCATCTGTAGCTGGAAATATTAATGCTTATCAAATGCAGTATATACTTTGAAATTAGAAATGCATTAAGGATTTGGGGCTGTAGGTCAGTGATGATCATGTTAGCATGCACAAGGCCTTAGGTTCAATTCCCCCTCAAAAAAAAAACCCAAAGTTAACTTATTTTTGATATCTGCTTTTTATTTCTTTTTTTTGTAAAGCATCATCTTATTTGTTAATCTGCATTTTGTTTCATTCTTCTTCAGGACCTTATCTACTAGGGCCTGCATTAGAGAGAACTGTGCTATGTAGATTTGAGGATCACAGTTTTGAAGCCAGCCCAGGCAGAAAAGTCTGTGAGACTTATTTCCAATAATCTACTCAGAAAAAGCTGAAAGTGGCCACACTATGGCTCAAAGTAGTTCAACTATTAAGAGGTAATAAAACGCATAGATTGGAGAACTTGTACATCATGGTTTTTAAAAGGACTAGAATCCAGAAAACCAAGAACTTTGATAATGCAACACAACTTGAGTAATTCAGATTTAAATGTGAACAGATATAGTTCACTAGAAAAGACCTAGGAATAGTCAACAAATATATATAAAGTGTTGAACATACCTTGGCCATGTAATTGTAACCCCTCTGTACAGTATTTTCACAATAAATAAATAAATAAAACCACATGATTGTATTTGGGAAATTTAAAAAAATTGTTGAACATAATTAGTTTTTAGGATAAAGTAAGACAAAACTACAATGGGAAGGAGAGGAGAGAGGAAAAAGAAAGATGGAGGGTGAATAATTTCTAAATACTTTGCAATTATGTTTGAAGATAGCATAAGGAATATCAATGAAAGCTCTTGACCAGTAAGAGATTAGAAGAGAAAGAAAAAGTAAAAGGATTATTCTGAGCAAAATATAATATATGCATATCTGAAATGCCATAGTGAAATCCCACAGTACAATTTATACACACTGAAAAGAAAAATGAATGATAGAAAAGTAAAATAGGAGCCAGTGCCAGTGGCTCATGCCTATAATCCTAGCTACTCAGGAGGCTGAGATCTGAGGACTACAGTTCAAAGCCAGCCTGGGCAGGAAAGATGGTGAGACTCTTATGTCCAATAAACTACTAGAAAACTGGAAGTAGTGCTGTAGCTCAAGTGGTAAAGCGCCCTCCTTGAGCTGAAGAGCTGAGGGACAGCGCTCAGGCCTGGAGTTCAAGACCCACGACCAACAAAAAAAAAAAAAAAAAGTAAAGTAAAATAGGATCAGAGCAGGAGTGTTGGCACCAATGGGAGTGGCAAGGACTAATGGAGAAGGTGAATGAAGATGAATGCAATTAAAGTCGTTTATCTGCAAGTATAAAAACGAAGCAATGAACTGAGAAAACCAGGGAAGAGATAACCCTGTTGAAAAAGAAATATATTCACTACCTAAATTATGTAACTGTAACCTCTCTGTACATCATCTTTCCAATAACAATTTTAAAAAGAAAAAAAGTAAAGAGAGTGATGTAACTGTTGAAATTGTTTTAGAAAGGGCGTGGAAGGAAGGGGGAGTGACAGGATAAAGCTTGAATCCTATACATTGTACAATTAATTTATGCTAGTATATGGAAATGCCACAATGAAGTCTCCATTGTACAATTAATATATACTAATAAAGAAGAAAACTAAAACAGAACAAAAGACAAAAATATTTAAGAAACAAAATGAGCTACAATTTCATACTCACAGAATGGTGTATAACGGAAGTCAGAAGGTAATAGGTGTTGATCAGGATGTAGAACCACTGGCACCTATGGATGCTGGCGGGCCTGCTAGTCCTCACCTACATACTCTAACATGGGGTTTCTATAGCCTCCTAAGACTCTGAAGAACAGATTTATTCTCCCTGTCATTCTAAGATCATTTCCAAGAGGAAGGAGTTAGTACCATCTTGAAAGCCGGTGAAGCTGCCTGAGACTCAAGGTCTCTTGCCTTGTCTCTGAGGCTTGATTATCTAACTGAAGTTTTTCCAAAAGAAATGAAATTGCCTCATATTTCCTCCCTAACAACCTCCTTAAACAGGGAAGATAAACTCATAGAAAATACAAAAAGGTTCTACCTACTTACACTAAATGTACCCACTATTCTGACAATAGAAAAACTTCATGAGTGATAAGACAACCTCTGTGCCATTCTGCCCTTTATCTTCCTTAAAAATTTCCTACAGGACTTGTTTCCCTCCCCATTTCCCTCTCTACTATGAAGAGGTTGTTTAAGCTTCAACTTGCTGGCAATTCATTGTGTTTTCCTTACCCTTCAAGTCATCTTTTTTTTTGGGGGGGGGCCAGTCCTGGGGTTTGAACTTAGGGCCTGGTTGCTATCCCTGGGCTTTTAAGCTCAAGGCTAGTGCTCTACCACTTGAGCCACAGCTCCACAACCAACTTTTTCAGTTGTTAGTTGGAGATAAGAGTCTCATAAACTTTTCTTCCAGGGCTAGCTTCAAACTACAATCCTCTCAGATCTCAGACTCCTGATTAGCAAGGATACAGGTGCCCTGCTAAAAAGCAATCTTTTGTCTTTTATATCAGAACCTGAGTCTACTAGTCAGTCTGTTCTTCTGGATATTTATTTCTTTAATGCTTAACCACTAAAGCCACAGATCCACTTCCAACTTTTTTGTTGTTGTTGTTATCAATTTGAAATAAGAATCTAACATACTTTTCAGTTCCTGGTGGCTTCTGTGTACTTGTCCATGATAATCAGTGCTAATCAGATTTTAGCCAATGTCACAAAATGCCTGAAATAAACTACTTAAAAGAAAATGTTTAGTTTGGCTCGTGGTTCAGAAGTTGTCAGCAATGGTCAGTAGGTGTAGCTTTGGACCTGTACAGCATAGACTCAAAGCTTTCAGAAGCAAAGAGAGAAAAAAACAGGAAGTAACTGGCACTGAGGTCACAAAATACCCTTCACCTTTGCCTTTTAAAATAGAAAAACTAAACAAAAAAGGATAATTATTAGAAAATGACTTAATGGATTGCAGTCATTTCAAGATAGAAAAAAAGTCAAAGCTAACCAAAATTTAAAGTTCTATTATCATCTCTAGCTTGTAAGAACAAAGACTGATTTTGCCCAGGACAAATGGTGAAAAAAAAAAATACCTCATGGTAAAAACGTAAGGGAAGTCATATTTGGCAGCTCAACTTCTTATTAAATCATCACTTAAATTATATCACATTTCCAAGCAGATTGCCTGTTAAATAACAGCACCTCCCCAAAGTACACTGCTATAGAAGTTGAAACAAACCAACGAAAATACTTTGTCAAGGTCATAAAATAAGTCAAACAAATTCCAAAACAGAACCTTTGATCTTAAATCCAGTTTATGCTCTGATCTCTTGATAACACCATTGTAAATCCTTAAATATATTTTCTTCTTTTCAATTTGACAGAACTACTAACAGGCCTCTTATATTGTACACAAGAATTATAATAAAAACAAAAAATGTAGCCAGGTTTGATTACACAGGCGTCCTGGCACTCAGAAGGCTGTGACAGGAGGTTCATGAGTTCAAGGCCAGACTGGGATACACAGCCAACCTCCT